TGGGGAGTGAACCAGCAGATGAAAGATTCTTTTTCTCCTTCTTCTTCTCCATCACTCTGCCTTTCACATAAATAAATAAATCTTTAAAAAACCAAAATCCCAAGCATCATTAAAATCTACATTGACAACTTTGCATTTAAATTCATGAAAGCTTACTATTATGTAAAAATGGATTTTTTAGCATGTTTATCAGTCTTATGATACAACATTTATTAAATCCCAGCTAATCAAGTTAATAATTTCTTGGGCTCTAAAATATTTCAGTCTGTCAGTGGTTAAGCTTAATATTAAAATACTTTCTAATTATTCTGCGATTTTTGTCTATAGTGTAGTAAATAGTTTGCAGCAACTTTATTTTTCTTTAAAAAAATGGATAAATATAATTTTCAGGCTTTTCAAGTTTTCCCCTTCTTGGTGAGAAATTTTTACTAGGGTAGAGGGGTTTTGGCTCTAATAATTTACAGTTAAGGCACCCTTAAGATTCACTCAAGTGTTTCAGCAGAATTCACAACTTGAACTTTCTTTTTCAAACCTCAGGGGCTTAGCACGTTGTTCGCTTCACATTTGGTTTTTACCAAAGTACTGAGGCGTGTTAATGTGCTCCTTAGACCCACTAGGATTTACGCATCACACTTTCTTCATCTTACCAGCTGTGTCATTGAAAGCTACACACAAATGCGACCAGACATTAAAATCAGAAGGGTAGAATTCAGTGTGGATCTAAAGTAAACTAAATACATAAATAATATTAAATACAGATATTCATCAGAGAAATTAAGCTTTGGAAAATTCTCTCCCCTTCTACCACACCCCCTGTTTCCCCACTTCTGTGGTCACAGTGGTTGAGAGTGCAGCTGGGGAAGTAACTGTGGTGGAGAAGGCAACCGACTCGCTCCACGTGGCTGCCCAGATGTGCTACTCTCTCAGGGATTTGATGCCTGCTCTTCTCAACAGCCTGCTCTGACATTTATCTGTCTTGAATAGTGATGGACAAACAAAGTGACTGACATAACATCACACACTAATATTTTAATTCATTCTGGGATTCATTTACTCCATGTTTATGATTAAATGCCTACTAATTTTTAGAGAAAGTGTATAGTGAGAGATGGAAGTCCTGGTAAATCATAGTTCTCTATGCCAGAATGCTTTAGAGCCCACAGCACAGTCAGACAAATGAAGCAGCTACCAGTCAGTGTGTGACAATAAGAGCGAGCACAAGGTGCGACCACCCTGCTCTGGCCCGTAACTGGATGCCTTCCCATAAGACGTGGTGCTTAAGAAGAGTCTTGAGGGACGAGTATGAATCAGCTGGACAACAGGAGTGGTACATGTCATGGCCAGCGGCTGAGAGTAAGCATGGCAAAAGGTGAAGTAAGAGTAGATAGGCAGGAGCTCAGTAAGGTAGGATGAAGAATGGCTCCCCAAAGAGGTCCATGCTCGAATCCTGGGAACATATAAATGCTCCTTTATGTGGCCAAAGGGATGTGGTAGATGCGAGTATATTCAGGATCTTGGGATGCAGAGATCATCTTTGATTATCAGAGTGGGCCCAACGTAACCACACAAGACTCTTATGAGAGCATTGGAGTAAGAGAGGGCATTGTGATGACAGAAACAGTTTAGAATGATCCACTCCGGAGGAAGGGACCATGTGCTGGGGAATACAAGGAGTCTCCAGTAGGTGGGACAGGAAGGGAATGAATTCTTTTCTGCAGCCTCCAGAAGTAACACAGCCTTGCCCATGCCTGAGTTTTAGGCCCATAAGAATCATTTTTGACCTTCTGACTGACGGATCTGTAGAATAAATCTGCGTAGTTTTTTTTTTTTTTTTTAAGTTTGTGCGAATTTGTTACAGCAGCCATAAGAAATGAATACACTTGATTCCTCAGGGCCTTTCATGCTGTGTTGAGAAGCCATTGCAGAGTTTTAGTTAGGACAGGGAGTTGGTCACCTTCCCTCTTCAGAATGGTGTCTCTAGAGCAGGTGGAGCTTTGGTCATGCCAGTACTAGGCTAGGGAAGGGCAGACATACTTTTGCGACCTTGCTATCTAGGTAGGGGATAGTACCACCAGGTCCAAGGTGAGACTGAAAGACAGTGATTCATCTCCAAGGACTCCTTTGAGTGTTCTGAAAAGACTTGATATGGGTATATTGAAAAGACATTGATAGCAAATTGAGGTGGAAAAGTAACAATAAATCACTTGGGAGCAGGTAATCTATAAAAAACTTAGCCTCTCCACTCAAATTTCTTTGCAAGTATTTTTTTTTTTTTTAACAGGCAGAATGGACAGTGAGAGAGAGAGACAGAGAGAAAGGTCTTCCTTTTTTGCCGTTGGTTCACCCTCCAATGGCCATCGCGGCCGATGAGCTGTGGCTGGTGCACTGCGCTGATCCGACGGCAGGAGCAGGTGCTTCTCCTGGTCTCCCATGGGGTGCACGGCCCAAGGACTTGGGCCATCTTCCACTGCACTCTGGGCCATAGCAGAGAGCTGGTCTGGAAGAGGGGCAACCGGGACAGAATCTGGTGCCCTGACCGGGACTAGAACCCGGTGTGCCGGCGCCACAGGCGGAGAATTAGCCTATTGAGCCGCGGCGCTGGCCTCTTTGCAAGTATTTTAAAGTCCTTTCCCATTTTAAAGAAAGTAAAACTAGAAAGAGTAGATGATATATTATCAGTGTGTTATCTAGTAAAAACACAGTGACACTATGATCAATGGTGCCCCTGCTGTGAGTAAGTCTTGGCCTTGAAACATGCTATGGTCTGATTGTTTGTGTTATGCTCTGCCCCCAGATCCATACTTTGAAATTCTAGCCTCCAAGGTGATGTTATTAAGATGCTGGGGTGGGGTGGGGGTGGGGTCCTTGGGACTAGAGGCCCAAGAGAATGTATTTGCTCCATCCACCATGGGAGGACACAGAGAGAAGTTGGCAGTCTGCAAATGGAAGAAGGTCCCCACCCAAATCTGACTGTGCTGGCACCTTGGTCTTGGACTTCCCAGTCTTTTGAACTATGACAAATAAACTTCTGTTGTTAATAAGCTACCTTGTCTATGAAAAGAATTTTATTATAGCAGCCAAAACGGACTATGACATTGTGATTGAGTTTTAAACAAAAATAGAACCATATGGTTTAAATTGAAGTAAAATGTACGAGGTAAATATATATTAATTTTTATGAAGGGACCCCTTATATGAATTTCTGGAGTATCTATCAACGCATTACTGCCTCCAGTTAAAACAGCCAAGGGGGCATAACCATCTGAGTTTCCCTATTTGTTACTGCCCAAATATTCCACTCTTTCTCACACTTTGATGACTTTGGACATGACGTTTGCTCTGCCATGAAAAACTCTTTCTGCGCTTCGGGCTCCATGACCTGGGACACTCAGACACATCCTACACTGCCATATCATTGTGACTGTGGGGAGCAACTCGGACTGGACTGAGTTACTGGAATTAAGACTTATTCTATGCATCTGCTCTCCCACAATATGGCACTGGGAGAGGAGAAAACAGCTTCTACGCAGCTGCCTCTTGCCAACCTGAGTGCTGACCTCCAGGAGCTGATCCTGCTCCTGATTGGAGGAGAGCAGCGTACTCGGCGTGTGGGCAGCCGAGTTGGGATTGGCGGAGGAGGACTATAAAGGAGGAGAGAGACGGTATGCACCAGGAACATCCCCTTCCACGGAGGTGGAAGGGTCGGTAGCCAACCCGGGAGGAACCAGCAGCAAACCCGGGGAGGGCCGAGTAGACGAAAGAACAGCGCAGGGTCCTGTGTCGTTCCTCCACGAAGACGGGGAGTGACATAATGGTGCCGTGACTCAGATATGAAGCCTAGGCAGGGTCTTGTGTCGTTCCCCCACGAAGACGGGGAGCGACAGTGACCTTCTTCCCACTGCCCCAATTTGGTACTTCTTTCCTGATGCAACTTATCTTGTTTTCGTTCTTCCTTCTCAAGTGGCCAGGGAAACGCCATCCAGTATTTGGGGAGTGCTCTATTCTATGAAGCAGTGCCTGCCCACTTTGGTACGAGAGGGAGACCTTGATGTTCTCTTTGCTCCCCATTACTAGGGCCCAGGCATATAAAGGAGTCTTTGCTGCCATCATCCATAGCCTCATTTCAACTGCAACCAGAGATGTGAGCCACTGGACATGGCTGTTGAGACCACTCTGGGGCTGAGTGACAACACTGGAGGTGACTGCTTTCAGTTTCTGGAGGAACCAGTCACAGAGGCACAGGTGGTTCTGTGGTCTTCAAGGCTGGCTCTTTGACCCTTCCAGATATTCTCTAAGAGCCTTTAATGCATCCCTTTTTGGCTCAAATTAGACAAAATTGGTTTCTATTACTTAAACCTAAGAATCTTGCTCAATTGTTTTTAACTATAAAGCAATGGTGTGACCTTGTGACTATTCTTAGGTGCCTTTGTTCCCAGGCAGTCATGAGCTGGCAGTATCCCACTTCATCTCTCTAACCCTGGTGCCTTGCGCAGTGCCAAGAAGTGTAGAGCAGTCCTCAACAAATTGCTATTAGTTAAGTAAATTAATTGACTACTTAACTGGTGAAGAAAGAATCCTCTGAACATTAAAACCCATAAGAGGCCAACGCTGCAGCTCAGAGGGTCAAGCCGCTGCCTGCAGCACCAGCATCACATATAAGCACTGGTTCAAGTCCTGACTGCACTTCCTACCTGGCTCCCTGCTAATGCACCTGAGAAAGCAGTGGAATATGGTTCAAATCTGAGAGACCCTGAGGAATCTCCTGGCTCCTGGCTGTAGCCTGGCCCAGATCTGGCTGTTGCAGGCATTTGGAATGTGAACAGATGAAGATCTTGCTCTCTGTCTCTGCTTCTCTCTCTCTGTAACTCTGCCTTTCAAATAAACAAATAAACCTCTAAAACCCATAAAATGATGGTTAATACTATCAGTGTTTTCAGTGGCCATGTCCCTTCTAGGTAGCTCTCCATTTGTTGTTTTCACACAAGACAAGCACAACCACAAAGAGCTCAATATAATTTTATTAAATACGAGATGGTAACACACATTGTGCACTTAGGTATTTAGCAGCTCTGTGAAATGTTTTAATGCATGTGAAAAGTACACAGTCCAATCATAGACCTTCACTGTAGTGAATGATGGATACTTTTAAGAGCAATCCTACAGAAAAACCTCTGAGCTGGCAATAACTCTATCTGATTTATATCATTTGCAGGCACCCTTGAAATATTCTCATTATCTTCCTGGTCAGTTTCAAATTTTGTAGCCCCTCCAGAAAAGCATAGCCCGCACTTTGATTTTCTGAGGCAAAGTCCCATAGAAACAACATTGATGGGACAGGCCAGGCTGGTAGAAAATCATGCAAAGAAGCCAGGGCCTGCTAGACCCAGACATGGTGGTTTGTCTGAATTAGTTGCGTAATTTTCAATCTTTTTTTTTTTCACTTTGTACTATTTAGAACGGTCAGTTTATGTATCTGACTTATACATTATCTCTTGCCAGGAGTTTCTCTTTCTTAATGAAGTCCATAAGGAGTTGAGTGAAACTAATTAGTAAACTTACATTATACAACTTCCCTGAGTAGATAATCAAGCATGAGCAGCAATAATGATTATAAGAGTATAATACATGGATTTTAAATGTTTTCATTAACACACACGCATAGACAACATACACACACACAACATACACACACACAATAAACTCAAATGATACTGTATGCCAAACAACACTAAAACAGAATTTCAGGGCTACAGGGAATTCAAAAGTCCTCCAGAGGCTCCATTCTTTTTAGAGATTTTCTATATGCCTCCAGTCCTGACTTAACACGTGAATTGAATTACCTGTCCTCTCTGTGGCCTAATTTTAACATAAGTCAAGAAGATGCCAACAGATACTTCAAAGCATCCCTGTGGTCAGGTAGTAAAAGCCTAGGTTGGGCACGAAATTTTGAGTGACCTCTTCTTTCAGACTTGGCTGTCATTTCCACAAAAGGCAAAGGACATCTGCTCATCTGATGGAAACATGTTTCTTGCCATTTCTGCATCAGGAAGACTAAACTTTTCCTTCGTGCAAGCTTACACCATTTTGGTGGCATTTTCCCTATCTCCAAGAGGGCACTTTCAATATGCCTCTATCACAGCATTTTGCAATATTAAATAATCTGTTTCCAACTTGTCACTTTTTTTGTTTTAGATTTTTCAGAGTCATGTCCTCATTTGTCTTCAGATCCCCTGTGCCTGACGCTATGGGGGTTACATAGCAGTCTCTACATGTGCTTGCCAAGGAGGTGAAAGAGAACACTTACAGAAGTGCCTTGAAAAGCAAGAAACAAACGCAAGAGATTGTGGTCTGATACAGCCATTACTCCTGATGCAGAGGAAAGCACGTTAGAAAGTAAAGCTCTCATTTGAAGAATAAAATGGTCTGGTTATTACTGGGCCAACAGATAAAGACTACTAGTCTACAACTTAAAATCCCATTCACAGATGGCACAAAACAAAATAAACAAAAAAATAAAAAAGTAAAAACATTTAGTTCCCCTAGACAAAGTAGAAGCAGAAAAAATAAAAGAAAATTCAAAACATAAACAACAACAACAAACTTCAAACAAGGCTTTGTCCTCCCTCACAACTCTGTACTCCCTCTGCCCTTTGTGGCTCTAAGAACAGCCAGGTTTAGGGGTCTGTGGGAGAGGGATTGGTTCCCTCTCTTGAGTTGAAATTGCTTAGTTACCTTGACTGGGTTTGAGCTCATCATTAGAAATTCATTTAAACAAAAAAAGCAAGAACAAGTGTCAGCTATTAATGATAGGTCTCCTATCTATTTTCAAGGACGTAGCCACAATTGGCTCACTCACTGCATGTGGTTATAAGTTCTCCATGACATTTTTAGCAGTGTTGAAGGCTGTAGAACCTGAGACAATTTGGGAATGTGTTCGGACTGGGACAGTATCTGTACACACAGGTAGGGTTATTCCACTGCTTATCAGTCAAGTGTGCTATGGTCCATGGACAATGACAGGTTCTTTTGAGATCATGAATGGATATAGTTGGGTGGTATCAGCAAAAGGGTCTTGGTTTTGGTATCATCAGGAGAAATTCTGGATTTCTGATCTATTCCTTCTTGAGCTTATTTGCAGAACAAAAAAATCAACTGGGACTTTTTTTTCTTGCCTTTGCGGCTTGCTTTGGACCTGGCTGATCACAGAACTTCACACCCATGAGGCTGTATCTCTCCCACTTTCTTCCTTCAGTCACTTTAATCAGGTGAACACATGTTTACATTTGCCTAAGTCTGTCCTAATTTATGCTTATTATTCTAGAGTAATTTTTAAAACTTCCTCTGTCACTTTCAAGAATGATCCAGGTTGGATAGTAAATCACTCTGCTTGCTATTATTATTAGTGCCATTTGGCTTTCATAAATGGAATGGTCTGTATTTGAGAGAAAATCACTTGGTTCAGTGGGGAGTAGCCAGCTCTCAACCCTCATATCTTGGTTCCACTCCTCACTGAGTGGGGCTATTGGACAAGATATTTAACTCCTTAATTCTATAAAAATAAAATAATAATAATTGCACCCATATCCCAGGATTATCGTGGGAAGGCAGTGGGACAAGATGTGTGGAGCACTTAGCACAGCATTAGATCTATAATAAGTTCTGATAATAGTAGCTGTCATTCCTTGATATTTTTTTCTTCTCTTACTCCCTCTTGCCTTCCTCATTACTCCATCCTTCCTTCACTCTTTATTTCATTCTTTCCTGCTTTATGTTCTTAAATCATTAAATCATCGAGTCTCTTGAAACCTCATGACCTATCAGCAGGAGAAGCAGAAGGCTCCTGTCATTTGTTGAATGCTGCTGAGCCAAGATGTTTTAGCATCCTGTAGACTATGTAATATGATTGCTTTAATTTTTTCTTCTTTATGAGGGAGAGAATGCACTCTAGACCTTTCTCTCTCAGTCATCTTTGTTGATCATAATAGATTCAGTCCCTGGGTTTCTTAAAATTCACTGGTTTTGGTAGAAGCTGGACATGGAGACATATGCTTCTTCTTGACCTGGTCCCAGGGAAGTGAGGATGGGCTGTCCTTGGGCAACTGGGTTCAATGTCAGGATTCCTGATTGGGGAGGAAATGGAGGGATTGGTGTGCTGTTTGTAGTACCAGGACTAAGCAGGAGGCCATGGTATACATGAGACCCACCTTGGCCACTCTCTCTGCCATTTTGGGACCTGAAAGAGAGCAGTACAGGGGAATCACATGCACTGAAATTCTCAGTTAGGAATCTGGGGGGTGACTCTCTGAAAGTTTCTGGGGTGATGATTGTAACATTGGATGGGCAGCTGGAGCCTTGAGCTCCTGCTCCACATTTCTGCTTCTCAGACTTCTCTGGCTGTGGAGGGAAAATATCTTGCAGGAAGCCTTCCACTTCATCTCTAGCTTGAATGCCATCCACCTCATGAATCTGACAGTCCAGGAAACTTTCCGGATTGAAGCTCACATTCAAATTCTGCATAGGAAAAGAGAAAAGGCATCAAAGCAGCACCAGAGAGTTGTCCTCCCAAACATTCTGGTTAGAAAAGTTCTGAAGAAATTTCTGGTAGGTTTGCCATGTAATGGCAGAGAATTATCCACCTGTTTCTCAGTTGACTCTTAGATTCTGGAGGTGCTGTGGTGCTTCAGGGTTTGAAGTGACCATGGGATGTTCACTGCAACACTGGGAAGCCCAAAAGTCTGGAGACCTGTATCTCATTCTAGTTCCCCACTTCAAGGAAGATGCAGTTAGGGTTTTAGGAGGAATCTAGTTATGGGATGAGGTTCAACTATTCCTTATTCCAGAATATTGTTCTTGCATATGGGCATGCTATTAACATAATGCCTATTGGTGTACAAGAAGCACTTACCTTTTTTGGTTTCTTACAGAGTTGTTCCAGAGTTTTCTTATGATCAGGGATACTGGGCCATATCATAGGCTTAATCCTGAAATCAGAGAAAATTGACACATGAATAACAGAGGGAGCAGGCACAACAGATTTTCCCACTGACTCTGGGCCAGGAATCAGAAGGGCAAGTTTCTAGTTTTGACTCTTCCACATCTAATGGATGACTAAGAACGATGAGTTGCTTCTCTGGCCTCAGGGCTCCATCTATCTGAGATGGGATTAGGCCAGAAGTCACTGTTAAACTACTCTGTGAATAGACATGACAGTGACACACTTCTGTAAAGGAACTCCAGTGGGAAGGAACCAAGAGCTTTCAATGCAGTAGTTTTGCTGTAGCTAAGGTTCTAAAAAAATTTTTTTGGCCGCTTACGCTCAATATAGATGATGTTGTCTTTGTCTTTAGTGGCAGTGACTCTTCCATCCTAATTTTGGTAGATGTGGAAAATGTTTTCTAAGTTACCCAAGGGGCATTTCTTTAAGGCAGTACTGTTCAAATTGTGGTATTTGTAATCCTGGAGATCCAATGGTCTTGTGCTGAGGGCAACTTCCTAGACCATTAAATAACTTAAGTAGAGTATATTTAAAACATCATTTTCATAATGAACCAAAAGTCTCATGAGTTTACATACTGCAGTTGGACTTCTAGTACATTTTGCATTTCCATGGGGTTTCTACTACACCCTTTAGAAGACTTTAGAAGAAAAGTTTGGGATAAATTACCTTTCATAATTCTTATTTTGGGGAAAAGGTTTGCCTTGTGCCCAGTTTCTATATTTTTGTCTCTTAAGAAATCAATTGTGGAAATTCACTCATGCCAGAGAATGGGAGGGGCAGCAAGGACTGTAGTTCCCGAAATGACCTATCATCCTCCACTGCAGTTTTCTCATCAACAAAGAGAGAACTCAATAAATGGAGAAGTCAAGTTTGGACTGTCTGGGATCCCACACAATCACCCTCTTGATGAGTTGAAGAAAGTCACCTTTTTTTCCATAATACACAGGCCAAGATAGCCAAAAGAACCACAGAGCAGAAACTCAGAATGCTGACAGTTAGGAGGACAGGATCTATCTCCCCTGGAACACAAGGATACATCATGGTTAGCATTCAGTAAGCATGAAGTGGGGTAGACTTTCAGAATGCTTTGAGTTTATCTATTAATTGGGCCCATTTACTGCTTATTGAAAGCTACTCTTCAGTAAACAAGATAATATTCTAACTTTAAGGGGGAATTTTGGCTTAAGGGGCAGTGACTTGGGCCACCAAGACCAGAACATTGGCCACTTGAAATGTAAAAGTGATCTAGTGTCAAGGGACCACCATTCCCTATACAACATCTACCCCCAGGGGAAAGTAACCAGAGCAGAGCAGATCCATGTTCCGTCTGCAGTCACAGCAAGTTGTAGGGTACAAATGGAAGCTGACATGAAGAACAGTTCTTCCAAAAATGTGAAAAGGAAAGATCTACGTGTGGTACTCCTGTGTCCAGAGGCCTGCCATGTTTTGTGGTTCTACTGGTTGTTCTAACTTCCTAGATCCCAAGGGCATGCCATCAGTGAAGATGTTCCCCACAGGAGTCTTAGAGAAAGCAGCCAATTTGATCCAAACCTAAACTGGTGAATGGGAGGCATAGTGTGGGCATTTTGTTCCAAATTATTAGCAGTTTTCAGATATACTCAGGCCAGTGCCACCCACACAATTCTCACCAATTACCTGCTACTAAGGATCCATTCCCATTGATTTCTTGTTCTTCACAAAAGGGGCAAAAAATAGTGAAATAGTGTAGGCACACTCTCTGGGGAGTCCTAACATGCTAGTCTGTGTCATCAATTTCTACCCCACTCTGTCGATCACACTTTGTTGTGCAAAACGTCCAAGGAGACAAGCGCTCTCTACAGCTACTCCTTACCTGCCCTATGGTTCTCTGGTGTTCTGAAATGAGTACTTGGGCTCCAATCGCTCCAGAAGCCTTCAAAATAGTTGCTATTAGGGATGGATCGGACTCGAATCTCATACATCGCATCAGGTTGTAGCTTTCTCTGCAGGAGTGTCAGCTTTGTGCTGGATAAATTCACATGCTAAAGAGTAAAATAAGTCATTATATGGTAGGGTGGGAAAAGAAGTGCATCTCGGACCTCCTGAGTCATTTCAAGTTAAATTCCTTTAACCATGTAATTATACAACAACATTTTCATTTCTTTCTCTCCCCTTTCACATGCCAAGGAAAGGTGAAAGGTGGGGTTAGTGAACAAGAATTATTTCTCTTCAGGAGTATACCATTTTACATTGAGAATAGCATTAAAGAGGTGATAATATCCCAACACTGTGCATCATTCTTAAGAAAAACATATTCTGTCAACCTGATAGATAAGAAGTAATATCAGTTTGTCATAACATTTATATTTATTTTATTATCAGTTTTCATACACTTGTTGCATTTATAATTTTGTGGAACTTTTCCGATTTCTTTGGTTTGTTTTCTTATTGTGATATTTGTCTCTCTGAATGATTTATAGGAACTCTTTATATATTAAAGGCATTAACCAGCTTTCTGCTGTGTATGTGACAATTTAATTCTGACATTTAACTTGCCTTTGATTATTGGATATGTTGTCGCAGATAAACCTATGGCCGCAGATAGGCATTTAACTTAGCTTTTTCCCCAAAAATGTTAGCTGTCCTAGAACCATTGGTTTATTCTTCTTTTCTCCAACAGAGTTGTTTTCCCACTGGTGCAATGTTCAGATAAATAAATAATGGAAGAGGGAAGGATCAAGGTCACCTTTTTGTGTGTGTGTCAAGGAGGGGTGAGTAGAAGGAGTGAACAAGTGGTTTGGGGTAGGTACTACATTTCTTTTTTCTTCTCTTCTCTTCTCTTCTCTTCTCTCTCTCTCACTCTCTTTTTTTTTTTTTTTTGAACAAAGTATGATTTGTTTAAGTTGGAAACCTCTTGCTGCAGCAGCCAGGAGAGGGGCTCTGACAAGGGATGACCCAGGTACTATACCCAGCACACCATACCACACTGCAAGCCCACAAGGCTGATCCTAGCCCAAGCAAACAGGAGGGATATGAAGGTACTTTCTGAGCCTTGGGAAAGAGAACCAGCCTTCTGTTTTCTGTCTGCGGGGAACGGAGCAGCAGGACTTAGTCTAGCAGGCTATGACAAAACTGATAGCCTGAGTACTTGACTTTTCTCCCACCTCTTTGCCCAAACAGGTTGCAGGGATAGCCAGATATTTCCCATCTGGGAGACTCATGAAGAAAATGGGACTAAGTACCTGTCTACATCAGCCATCCAGGGTGAAAACTAAGTTGCTACTTTGCGGAATAAAAGGGCAAACATTCTGCCTACTCATCTTCTTACCTCCTGCTGCCCTCACAAATCTCAGGAACCCAACTGTGACTGTGACTTGGTGATGCTCTCCAGGGGTGTTTGCGCCTGATGTTTCTCTGGAAGTGTGATACTTTTTGAGGTCTCCAAATAAAGAAGATCAACTTGGCCTCAATCTAAATTATTATCTAACTAAGCTAGAAATATTATAAATACAACAAATAAAACAAGAAAAATATCAGAGGTAGAACAGGATGGGTGAGGAAATATCCGCATTTTGTGGGGCTGAAGCACTTGTTCACTCCTTCTACTCACCCCTCCTTGACACTCACACAAAAAGATGACCTTCATCCTTCCCTCTTCCATTATTTATCTGAACATTGCACCAGTGGAAAAACAACTCTGTTGAAGAAAGGAAGAATAAACAAATGGTCCCAGGACAGCTAACATTTTTGGGGAAAAAACTAAGTTAAGTGCCTATCTGCCACCATAGGTTTATCTGTGTCAACAATATTGGGAGCTTCTTTCAATAAAGGGTATGTTTGGAGACAAAATGGTTCAGCCCTCCTAGGCTAGATGCATTTCTGAGACAATGAAAGCTAGAACATTAAGAGGTTTCTATTGTAAGAACGAGGTTGATCTACATACCATCCAGTTGCCTTCATCTTTTTCCTGGCGGTAGGCTACATCATGTATTAATTGATTTACATACTGCTTTTGCAAGTGCGATGTATTAAATGTCACCATAAAGTCATTTGCTCCCTTACGATAGGTAGCTTTTATGTCAAACGGAGGTTCAGGTTTAACTGGGAAGGGAAGAAGAAAACAATAAATCTGAGTATAGACCAGGGGATAATTACAATTTTTAAAGTCCATCTACTTTGAACCTCGATCTGATCCTGAATCAACAACTGGCTAACTGTTTAGAAGGCCATTTCTTCTTCTTTCTAGGTTTAAATTCAGACTGCATTTCCCAGCTTCCCTTGCAGCTGGGCATGGTCTTGTGAGCAATGTGAGTGGAAGTGACGCTCCCCAGTTCCAATCCTGGTCAGAAATACCCCCCACCCCCACCCCCCATGGCATTGCATGTGGGAGATAGAGGAGCACAGGATAAGAAGTGTTGGATATTGCTTCTAGGAGCACCACCACGGGTTAGGAATACTCTAATGTGACAGAAACAAACTACAAGTTTGAAATATACGTTTTGGAGCTCGTTTGTTATAGCAACTAAAACTAATTGTACATTTAAAAAAAAACATTTTATTTAGTTATTTGAAAAACAAGCTCACACACACACAGTGGGAGGGAGGGAAGGAGGGAGGGAGAGGGAAGGAGAGAGAGAGAGAGAGAGAGAGAGAATCTTCTATCCACTGGTTGACTCCCCAGACTGCTGCAATGGCTGGGGTTGGGCCAGGATGAAGCCAGGATCTTGGGACTCCATATAGGTCTCTCTTGTGGCTGGCAGGGGCCCACACACTTGGGCCAACTTTCATTGTTTTTCTAGGCTTATTAGCAGGAAGCTGGATTGGAAGTAGAATAGCCAGGACTTGAACTGGTACTCATATGGGATGCTGGCATCACAGGCAGTGGTTTAACTTGTTGTGCCACAACACCAGTCTCATTAATTATATATTAATAACTTATTATCTTTGCTGTGGGAATATAGATATTTAAATCTGAGACTTCATCCTTCCAATACAATTAGGTTGTGTGATGGGACCTAAAATATCACTTATCTATATAGAAGCAGATCTTTGTCTTGGCCCCAGCATTTAACTTCCAAAGCGATCTTCAACTGTGCCCTCTGTCTGTCTCAGTTGCATTATCTCTGACCTGCTGTGTTCTTCTGGATGCCTCCCCAAGCTGTTATTAGGGTTAAATGTGATATGTATGGTGTGCTGTGGGAGGGAGAAGGGTATTGCTTTAGGAGAACAAACCTTGAGAAAGGTATTGGTTTCCAAGTAAGGTGCTGATGTCAGGTCCCTTTTGCTTCTTTGAACTGAGACTTCCATTCTTAACTTTGTAGCTGTGGTTTTACCATAGGCTGGGAAGCTGATTGTCTAGTGATGGGGCCTCTACTTTTGTGTGTGACTGATCTCAGATCTTATTGTTAATAAGAGGGTGTATGTTCATCAAGCTTCCACTTAGTAGACTGAATCACTTTCCAGGCGATCTGAGCTGGGCTTCCTGGCCCAATGAAATGAAACCCTTGGTGCAGTATTTGGCCCAGTTGTCATAGTCACTTGTTAGTGGTGGTGATTGCCTGAGCACCTCATGGCTCTCCCCATGGATGATGAAAAAGAAGTGGCCCCTTCTTCACCAGTGGATGTCTTGTAAAAAGGGAAATTCACCCTTGTGTACCCTGGGCTGCACCATTCATAGGGAAGATGTTCTAGAGGGTAGCAGGAGGAAAGTCAGTGGTGAAGAGACCCAGTCCAATAGGGACTCCCGGCAACCCTCATAACCTACCTCTCATTCGCGTTCTCAACAAAACCTCCTGGAACTAAATCCTCTGTCCCATCCCCATATCCTAAGGACTTTTGGTAATGGTGGAACTAAGGGAAGAATGGGATTAAAATTGACTGCACATCTACTAGTGCTGAGGGCTTATTCTGTCTTCAAACAGCAGCCACTCATCGTGACTCTACTCAAGAGGAAACTGAGTCTCAGAGAGTTTAATTAACCTAAGTTCAGCACTCTATGAAATAGTTTAACTGGATTTAAATCAACTCAGCCTGGCTCTGAGGCTCACTTTTCTTCATTTAGCTTCTGTTTCTATATCTTGTTATCTTGTCCTGGCTTGTCTAGGCCCTCTCCAGAAAGGTCTGCCTCTTGTCCAAACGGTGTCTTTGAGGAAATCAGAAGAAGGTGCTAGGGTGGGCATTTTGCCTAGCAGTTAAGACACTAGTTAAGATGCCTGTGTCTTAACTTGGAACACCTGGGTTTGAATCCTGGCTCTGACGCTCAGTTCCAGTTTCCTGTTCCTGCGGAGTCTGAGAGGCAGCATGTGACATCTCACTTGATTAGATTCCTGCAACCCATGTGGGAGAGTTGTACTGAGTTTCTGGCTCTTGGCTGTGGCCTGGCCCGGACCCAGCGATTGGGAGAATTTGGAAAGTGAATCAGTAGATGGGAGCATCATCTATCTAGCTCTCTCTCTGACTCTTTTTTTTTTTTAAAGATTTTTAAATTTACTTATTTGAGAGGTGGAGTTACAGATAGTGAGAAGGAGAGACAGAGAGAGAGGTCTTCCTTCAACTGGTTCACTCCCCAGATGGCTGCAATGGCCGGAGCTACGCCCATCTGAAGCCAGGAGCCAAGTGCTTCCTCCTGATCTCCCATGCGGGTGCAGGGGCCCAAGGACTTGGGCCATTTTCTATTGCTTTCCCAGTCCATTGCAGAGAGCTGGATGGGAAGAGGGGTGGCCAGGACTAGTACCGGCACCAGTATAGGATGCTGGCACTGGCAGGTGGAGGAGTAATCTACTGTGCCACGGAGCCAGCCCCTCTCTCTGACTCTTAAACCAACATTTTTTAGAAAATCAATATAATCTTTTTTTTTTTGACAGGCAGAGTGGACAGAGAGAGAGAGAGAGACAGAGAGAAAGGTCTTCCTTTGCCGTTGGTTCACCCTCCAATGGCCGCCGCGGCCGGCGCACCACGCTGATCCGAAGGCAGGAGCCAGGTGCTTCTCCTGGTCTCCCATGGGATGCAGGGCCCAAGCACTTGGGCCATCCTCCACTGCACTCCCTGGCCACAGCAGAGAGTTGGCCTGGAAGAGGGCAACCGGGACAGAATCCGGTGCCCCGACCGGTGTGCTGGCGCCGCAAGGTGGAGGATTAGCCTAGTGAGCCGCGGTGCTGGCCAGAAAATCAATATAATCTTAAATGAATACAATCTAAACAATTCTATCAGACTCTGCCAAGAAATGGGAGAATGCAAGAGGACACTAATGAAGGGAATGTAAGAGACTGGGTGGTTGCAGGCAAGTCTTAGCCCTTGGGTTCAATTAGTTTAAATCCAGTTAAATAGTTCTTTCATTAACAAAAGGCCACATAAGGAGTCAGAAGACGTTGTGGCACTTGCCTCCATCACGTCTCATCTGGCTTGCCTTGGAGTGCTTTTCAAATCCCCAGAAGACCCACAGCAACGCCTTCCACAGGCTGTGTATGTGTGTGTTATGTGTGTGTGTACATGATGAGCAGAGGACATATGTGCCTCTCTCTCCATTGTTTTTCAGATGAGACATGTTAGGTGTGCAGCCAACTTGGGGGAACAGAATGTGGGCCTCCAAGAGCACTGGGATTATGCAAGATGGGGATTCAGACATGGCAGAGTAATACCTGGAGCCTTAGGATGTGACAGTGGTGTTCACAGGTGTCAGACACGTCTGTGCAGGTGTGGGTTTGTGTAAGACTGGGCTCTCCTCTGTGCTCCAGGGCTTTGTCGGAGGACCAAGAATCCTGCCTGCTCCGCCTGCTCTCATATTTGTAATGCAAATGGAAAACCTTTAGATAAAGTGCCCTTGGGCAGTGCACAGCTCAGCATCCATCCGTAGAGCCCTATCTCCAAATGATCACAACCCAGCTTGTTCATGTTCTCAGAAACACCTGTTGAAGCCACCCCCCCCGCCCCCGTCCCCCACTAGACAGTACTCATACTGGTTGCAGTCATTGTTATTCTCTGGTTAACCTGCGTTACTGCCTCTGCCTCCCCAATGTTGTTTTCTGCTATATCTGCCTTTTTCCCCCCTTTTTAGCCAACATAATTGTTTACACCTGGAACTTCTGTTTTTATTCTTATTTTATCATCCTAGTGAAAAAAAAAAAAGCTGAGTAATATTTTTCATTCTCTCTTATCTTTAATGATTATCACTCTCTTTAATTTTCCTTTTGAGGGGTGAAGAACATTTGGGAATTTGGAGAGACTGAATCATAGTATTTAAAACTGACAAAAGAATGCATGTGTTCTATCACTCTGAACAATTTTTCCACTATATATAATCTTTCACTAGTAAATCTCTAGAGGTAGAATAAATACAAATAGTATTTCACTGCACTCATACATCATAATTGGGTTAGACAATCCCCTATAATGGGGCTTCTCTGAGGCTTTATAAAAGAACTTAATTTCCCCAGGATCACAAACCTATAAGTAATGGCAAACACTTTTGTATCTATATTCCTAATCTTATTGTTTTGATTTTCTTATCTTGATTGATAACTAAATGGTGAATTGATAGTTAATATTGGCTTAAACACAGATACTTAAATAGATTTACTGATTCATATCATTATGAGCATGTATATTATATAGGGCCCCCCAAAAGAGACCATGCATATGGAGTTTGTCAATGTAAACGTTTATTTGAAAAGCAATTTTTATCATGCATTTTTGACTAAGTATAATGTGTATTTTAGGCCAATTTGTATTTGGCCATGTTTCACTCTTCAGTAGTATGTCCCTTAGAAGGTGTGATAGTTAACTGAACGTCAACTTGGGTAAGCTTTGGTGCTCATTGTTTGGCCAAACACAAGTCCAGTGATAATTTGTTGGACATATTTAAAATTTAAATAATTAGACATTAAGTGAATAAGATTGCCTTTCATCTAATATGTAGAAGGCTTTAGGAACATAGATTGAGATTCCTTGAAGGAGAGGCAACTCAGTTCCAAGAATGCAATATAAAAGGGGGCTGGCACTGTGGAGCAGTGGGTTAAAGCTGCAACCTGCAGCACCAGCATCCCATAAGGGCGCCGGTTCGAGTCCCAGCTGCCCCACTTCTGATCCAGCTCTCTGCTATGGCCTGGGAAAGCAGTAGAAGATGGCCCAAGTCCTTGGGCCCCTGCACCTGCATGGGAGACCCGGAAGAAGCTACTGGCTCCTGGCTTTGGATCAGCTCAGCTCTGGCCATTGCAGTCATTTGGGAGTGAACCAATAGATGAAAGACGTTTCTTTCTCTCTCTCTCTCTCTCTCTCTCTCTCTCTCTCTCTCTCTGGCTCTACCTAGCTCTGTAACTCTTTCTTTCAAATAAAATAAAATAAATCTTTTTTTTAAAGAATGCAATATAAAAGTGAGTTTTCTGCCCTGCAGAATTCAGACTCAAGACTGCAATGTCTGCTCTTATTTGAATTTTCAGCCTTTCAACTGGCCCTAAAGATTTCAGACTTACAAGTTTCACAGTCCTAAGAGGAATTCCTTAAAATAAATCTCTCCTTTCCTTTCTCTTTTTTCATATCTATCTATCATCTATATATCTACTATCTATCTTGTATCTTCTCCTCATTCCCACTAGTCCTTTTTCTTCCAACACAGAAGGCATATTTACTTTCCTGAATAAATCCATAATTTATCTAAGCACACTGAGAATATGATGGGAACACAGGGTAGATGACCATGAGGAACCTAGGAGGCCCAACTACCATTAGACACTTTATATAGATTTACTCTTCCCTCAGTCTGTAATTACAAACCATCTTCTTTCACAGTTGAGTTTGAAGTTCCTCGGAATTCTCTCATAGCATGAATTAATGGCATAAGTGTCAAATTTTTCACTTGTTAAAAAATTGCATTGGAGATTTTTCTATTACACCCATCTGTTGCAAATTATTTCCAGGATTCATGTGATTTCAACATAAACTCCAGACACAGTGTCTGCAGGTATCCAAGTAATGACAATCATGCCCCATATACAATTTCTTACCTATCTTGGTAATGTCAATTTCTTTGCAAATTAGATTCTTTTTTCCAAGCTTTACACATATTTTGCTGTCTCCAATAAGTAAGAAGTTTTTTGTCTTGATGAAATACAGCTCTTGTAGTTTACTAAAATTCAGGCATTTTACCCTCAAAAGAGCACCACTGCAAAAACAAAGAGGAAATTTGTCTTGTTTCTGGTAAGGATTTTTGTATATGCAATAGAATAACATCATATGTACCTTTTGGTTGTATGGCTTGAACTCTACCCATAGGATATGGTTGAGTGAGTGCACATTCAAGAGAGGGAGAGCATGAATTAAAATGATTGGACTTTTTGCTGCTTGTACATTCAGTGATAATTTACTCAGGTGTTAGATGCAATTGAATCTGAAATAAAGTACACTCATTAAAATGACAGTAGATTTAGGAGTTTTTATAAGTGATCATTAAAAAACAAATGTTATATTTAGAAAGAAATGTAATTGCTTTTTATTGATGTCCTAAAGTGATAAGTGGCAGTAAGGAAATATTGACCAAAATAAGGATTAAAGGTAATGATAAAATGGTGTAAAGGGTTAAATACATAATACTACATGTTCTTAATGGGTAAGTTAAGAGTTTTTCTTAGGTAATTTGATTCATAAGTCTTAATGAGACTGGTCAGGAAAAGAAAGTAAAAATATAGATTACCAATATTTGGAATGTTGGAGGGTATTATCAGAATGCATCATGCAGTTATTAAAAGTGCAGAGAAATTTGAAAGTGCATGGCAAAGCATGGAATAAATTAAACATAATCAAAACTTTTTTTTTTTTACAAACATAAGCTAATAAAACTGACCCACATAGATACTGAATATCTCAATAGTTTTATTTCTTTCAAAGGAATTAAATTTATTATGAGTAAGCTTCCCCAGGTAGAAAACTTTATTTCTGACAGTTATATGTTGGTGAATTTCATTAAAAGTATAAGAAAGAAATAGTGTAAATATTAACTGTATTCTTCCAATTCAGTGGAGTGGAGCCTTTCCAATTTATTTTATGAAGTTAGCTTAACTCTGGTTCTGAAACAAGGCAAAAATATAACAGAAAAGAAATCTATAGACAAATGTCCCTCAAGAATGTATATGCAAAGTTCCTCAAGAAAATACCAATACACTGATGCCTATACATTGTGACAAAGGAGGGTATATCCCAGGAAACCAACTTGGTTCAACATTTAGAGACCAATCAAATTTACCACTTTAACAAAATAAAAAACATAAATAATCTAGTCATCTTCAAAGGATGCAAAAGGCATTTGACAAAATTCAGTATCCATTTATGATAAAAACTCTTAGCAGGCAAGAAATAGAACATATTTCCAGAATCTGATAAAGATAATTTACAAAAAAGTTTGATATCATGTTTAATTGTAAAAATATGAATATTAATTATTTATCTAAGATCAGGAGAAGCAGGATAGTCACCTTTCAATATTTCTATTCAACAGTAAACCAGAAGTTCTAGTCAGTATATAAGGAAAAAAAAGAAGCAAATAATATACATTCAGATAAAAAAAGAAAAAGTACTTCCCTCATTTGCAGGTATTGCTTATTCATATGGAAAATGATAAGGAATCTCTAATACAACTATAAGAACTAATAAAATGTAATAATCAAGACCATTGTACAAAAGTCAATTATATAGGTTGACATCAAACAATTTAAAATGGACAATTCCATTTATGATAGCAATATGAAGTATAAACACTTAGAATAAAATCAGTAAAAAATATTTAATGTCTTTGCACTGAAAATTACAAAACATTGCTGAGGGATAATAAGGGGAAATCTAAATGGAGAGCTATATCCATAGATTACCAAAATCAGTATTTTAAATTTTTTTTAATTTTTATTTTTAAAATTTGTATGTATCTCATGAATGTAACATTATGGACACAGTAAATCATTCCCACCGTACCTGCCCTCCCACCTATTCCCCCCCCCTTCCTGCTCCCTCTCCTGTTTTATCCAAGAAAGGAAAAAAAAAAAAAGAAAAATAAAAAGAAGAACAAATGGAATAAAAAGAAAACTGAGAGAACTACTCCTCAACAGTCTATACAAGGGCTGTTCTATGTTGTTGCTTCTCAAAGGTGTCAAAGTCAATATTGATAAGATAGAATTTCCCTCAAATTGGTATATGTATCTATTTCTATCTATCTATCTATCATCTATCTATAAAATGTTAAAATCTCATCAGGATTTAAATGACGGACTGATTCTAAAATTGTGTCCAAATACAAGGGACTCAGAACACATTGAAACAAGGCAACATTGAAAAAGGTAGAACAAATATGGAGGACTCAGAACACTTGATTTCAAGATTACATAAAGCTATGATAATCAGACAATTTAATACTGGCAGAAGGATAGGTAAATTGGTCAATAGAAGGACTAGAGAATTCAGAGATAGACTCATAGATTTAAGGGTAGTTGAATTTATATGCAGAAATTCACCAAATTCAATGGAAGAATAGAAAGTCTTTGCAGAAAATATTATAAAATATATGGAAAGTATGAACTTCAATTTAATATGTTTTATATAGGTATTATAGATCTAAATGTAAAGTCTGAAGTTGTGAAATATGTAAAACATGAGAAAATCTCTTCTCAACTTTGACATTAAGCAAAAATATCTTCTCAGTGACACAAAAAGCATTAAAAATAAAGGGAAAACATGAGATATATTAGAATTAATCACAATAAAAACATTTACTTATATATATCATTAAGAAAATGTAATTGCTTATGACTGACTGAAATAGTTATAAAATATAGATGTGAAAAAGGAGTTGTAGGGGCTGGTGTTGTGGTGTCGCCATAAAACCATCACCTGCAATGCTGACATCGCATATGGGCGCTGATTCGAGTCCTGGCTACTCTGCTTCCAATCCAGCACCCTGCTAATCTGCCTGGGAAAGCACCAGAAGGTGACTAAAGTGTCTGGGCCCCTGCACTCTTATGGGAGACCTGGGAGAACCTCTGGCTTTGGCCTGGCCCAGCCCTGGCCATTGTGGCCATCTGGGGAGTGAAGCAAATGATAGAAGCTCTCTCTTTCTCTGTCTCTCCTTTTCTCTCTCCTTGTAACTCTTTCAAATGAATAAATAAATCTTTAAAGAAGAAAAAGGAGTTGTATACAGGATATATAAATCAATCATCAATCATATTAGGACATCAATCATATTAGGACAAATAACTAATGATTTTAACAGATACTTGCCACAGGAGATATAAGTGGCCAAGTACATGGAAAAGTGTAAAATTATTTATTTGAGAGATGCAAATTCAAATGAGAAGATACTCTTTCAGATTCAGATGTTGGTAGGAGTTGCTGGTAGGAGTATAAAATGATATAATTTTGGAAAAATTTTTGGGCGATTTCTTAGTTAAACACCTATCCCATGATATAACAATTCCATTCTAAGGTTTTACCTAGGAGGAATAAAACTATATATTCATAAACTGAATTGTATACAACAGTTAAAAGCAATTTAAAAGAATAATAGTCTGAAACTTGAAAAAACACAAATGCCCATCAAGAGGAGAAAGGATTAAACTTTCCAATACATTCATATGGTGGAGTTATTACTCACCAACTGTTAAGATGAGCTGCAAGACAAGCATCAATACAGAATTATCTATTTTGCCAAATGAAAGATATCAGACAGAAAATAATAAACAGTGTTTCCATTTAAGAGAATAATCAGAAACTGGCAAAACCAGTGGGTGATAGGATTCAGAATTTTGATTGCTGCATGGGCACGAGAAGATTGGACGGAGACATCAGGAACCCTTCTCAAGAGAAAGAAGTGACCTGAGTGAGGTGATGCTTGCATGCCATGTAAATTTCTCAATGCTCACTTTTTTACCAGATGTAAATTTTATTCTACAAGTGAGCTATTATAAAAAAATAAAGTGAAAAAATTAAATAGATAATGTAAAAATGACAGAAGTAATGAAGGCAGATACTTTTACTGTAAAAATAAAAAATACAGAATAAATGTATACCTACTGGTTTCCCTTCCTTCCTCAAATTTCAATTTAATTTCCCTCTCCTGTGATAACCATCATTACCAGTTTTTTTTTTTTTTCCCTACATTCTGCTTAAACTCAGTCAAATAACTCTAAAAGGAGATACAACCCGGTCAAACTGGAAGTGAGAATCTTGGCAGCAAGAAAAGTGTCTCTGTATAAGTTTGCTAAGCCTTGTATTTGCTTAAAAAGCCCCTAACACAGACACACTGGCTGGACAGGGCCGTTACAGAAGGTGTTCCAAGGAATTAGCGAGCTTTTGACAAAAACTCCAACATTAGGAATTCCTGAGCAAGTCATTCACAGAAAGATCCTCTCTGGGTCAGTTGCAGCTTAAATCAAAGGGACCTTACCAGGTGCTGCTAAGCACGGCTACCTCAGTGAAATAAGGATTAAACGTCTATCTATTAAGTCTCCACAGGTGAACTCAAAAGACACGCCTGACTATATCTGTAAGCCTATCAGAGACCTTAAGTACTTCTTAAAAGCAAAATCATAAGTAGAGCCATTATTTTCCTCACATCAAGACTACCGCACCTTAAGGCAGACATGCCATACCTGCCTCTTCCAATCCCCTCTCTGGGAACTGTTATTAATGAAACACTCCTAATGGGCTCTGCTCTTCTATTATAATTCTCTATGCTCAAGCTAAATGGGTTTATATAATCTACATAAGGGTAGCCAATCGCCACCCACCATCTGGGAGTCTGTAAGACATGTTCTTTTCATCTTACAGGGCACTCCACTTACAAATGGCCTTGTTCAAATTTTGCTTATGCTAATTAACAAACTTATATGTTTCAGAACTCAACGACTTCTGGGACTAACTGACCATGCAGGGGACATAGACACTGGAGGTGACTGAGACTGTGCCAGCTCACAAAGAAAGTCTATTAGATAAAATAGAGACTTCCAGAGCCAGGACAGGCAGGGCTTGCACTACACCCCTCATAAGCTGGAAGCAGCTATGCCCTTCCACATCCCTTAGGATTAAAGGAATGAAGTCTCTGAGGGGGGAATGTCATAGGCAGGCATACGGGATAAAACTGATCAGGTTGTGAGTCAGAAGACCATGCCTTCACCCTTTGTG